GGGGGGGGGTTGGAGAAAGTGGCTAAAAAAGAAAAAGTGGGGTGGGATTTCATGTCCCTCATCGGGTTTTTATCGGACAGAAGGAAGTTGCCGGAGGTGTGTTTTTATTTTGTGCCGTGGAGTGACGTCCGGGGCAGGTGATTGCATCAGTGGCGGCGACCCTGATGAAGAGCACCGCTCGTCTGCTGGCTGCTGGCTGCTGGCTGCGCTACGGAGCGATGACCTTTCACAGGCCCGTGAACACGGCCATGAGAGGCGGCCCCTGCGGCTCACCCTCACCCCCCGAGCAGATGAAGGTGTCAGGCTGATTTGTTTTATGGGTCCTCCGACTATGTTTCTTGAATATTTAGACATTTTCCCTTGCAAATACACTGGAGCAGAGGTGTCCCAGGGGAGACCTTAATCAAAGTCTCTGTCTCTGGTACGGAGGCAATGCTGACCTTTCGCTGAAGCAATTAGGGGCCTTTTTTTGTACGGAACTAGAGCGGGACAGATGCTGCAGCGTCGCCCCGGCCCGGCTCTGCCTACTGATATTACAGCGTCCTTTGATTCTGCTTTTGATTTTCCTTATTATTTACATCTCAAACTGCAGGATCTATGCAGATGTAAATATTGCTGCTAGTTTTTGGGGAAGCATCAGAAATGTTAATGAAGTGATCTTGAGATGTACAGGAGAAAAAACAGTGACTGTCTTTGAGATGTGGTCAGTTTTTTGTTGCCTTGTTGAATATGGTGGAATATGGTGATCTTATCAGAGGTCATGTGTGGTGTATATGTGTGTGTGCGTGTCCCCACAATGTGATAAAAACTGTTATTTTGACCTTGTGGGGACAATTTTTCGGTCACCACAAGGGGGAAACTCAATTTTAAAGGAATCTGTGAATGCAAACAAACTAAGAATACCAAAAGCCTTGTATTTTGTTTGGTTACTTATGGTTAAGGTTAAAACTGGATGGGGTTAAGGTTGTCATTGTTAGGATTAGGGTTTCTCCCATAAAAATGAATGTATGGTCCCCACAAAAATATGAATACAAATGTGTGTGTGGATTAGGTTTGTGTCCCCCACATTGTGATAAAAACCTGTTATTATTTTACGTTGTGGGGACCATTTTTCAGGTCCCCACAAAGATCTGTGAATGCAATCAAAAAACTAAAAATGCCAAAAGACTTGTATTTTATTTGGTTACTTAGGGTTAAGATTAGGGCTGGGTAGGGGTTAAGGTCGTAATGTTGGGATTAGAGTTTTCCCCATACAATGAATGGAGAGTCCCCACAAAGACATAATTACAAACCTGTATCTGTGTAATGCGTGCAGTGTATGTGTGCTTTGATACTGTGTGTATTTTGGGATTTTGTGCTTGTGTGATTTTTTGGTAGAGTGTGTGTGTGTCACATATGTTTTGCATACAGTGTGTATTTATGTGTAATTTGGAGCAGTGAATGTGTGTGCATGTGTGTGTATTTTGATACAGTGTCTGTGTTTTTGCGTGCACGTGTCTCCGTGTCTCTGCATTTTGCTACAGTGCATTTATATGTGTTTTGGTACAGCGTCTCTATGTGTGTGTGTCTGTGAGTATTTCTGTACAGTGCCTGCGTGTGCGTGTGCGTGTGCGTGTGCGTGTGCGTGTGCGTGTGCGTGTGCGTGTGCGTGTGCGTGTGCTCATGCCTGTATGTTTGTTTGACTAGCAGATGACATGACATTTAATTGCTGAGTCGCCACACTGCAGCCGCGCGGCTCTTTGTCTGCCTCCCTGCTATTCCGATTCCCCAACAATGCGCTTTAAATCTCCCTTTATGCACCCCTGTCAAACGATGTCATGCGCACTTACTTTTTTTGTAGTCTCCGTTATGTCATCCGAGGGCCATTCCAGAAAAAAATCCCCCCCGGCCGTCCCCCCCCTCCATAGCCTTGTTCGTATGAGACAATGTCTTGTAACAATACTGGAGTCTAATCTCCATGTCAAAGCAATTCTCATCCCCCAGTGAGCAGCCTTCTATCATTTTGTAATGTTTTGTTTCTTATTCTGAAAGAATTAGAAAGGCACAGTAAGCCGGCGCTGGGCTTTGCGCCCTTATCTCAGTGTCTGGAAATGTGCACGGGGTATTTTGCTGGCGAGATAAAAACAGGAAGAACTCCAAGTTCAGCAGATCCTAATAGGTTTAAGTTCTATTGAAATCGGCTACCGGGAGATCAGATAGCTGGGGCCCTCGCTTGCTGCGTGTGTGTGTGTGCGTGTGTGCGTGTGTGTGTGTGTGTGTGTGTGTGTGCGTGTGTGCGTGTGTGTGCTCCCCCCCCCCCCCCCCCCCGAAAATAGCAGGAGCTGGGCGGGCAAGTGTATAATTTTTTCAGGGGGTTACTTAGGCATTTCAGCGCTTGGAGGCGGGAGTGGTGCGCTGACGACTCAATCGGCCCTCCGATTATCTGTAAGGAGTCCCTGCGATTAGGATTCAGGGGAGGCCTTTTGGGAAACCGGCCTGCCTTCTGTTTCCAAGCCACTCAGATTGGCTCCCATGAATTTTCATTCACTTCATTGTCTTGAATTTGCGAACACAAAGATGTCCTTCCATACAGTAATTAGCACCCCCCCCCCCAAAAAAAAAGCCCTCTACTCTCTGCTATTCTATCTCAGCTGGGGGTGTCATATTCTCATGGCCACTTCGATAAGTGCTTTCTGATATTTAATTAATGTATGTTCTCTTTAATGTATCCCCACCCCCACTTTGGGGTTTGGGGTGTGCCGGGGAGGGGGAGGGGGGATGAGTCCCCACAACGAGCAAGGTTTAGGTCCGAATCCCTGGCAGAAAGCCTTTGAGATTTATTGGGTGACTTCTGAATACAACTGGCCCTTGCATGGAACCCCAAGCCACACCCCCTCCCTGCATAGCACGGGTCACCTGACAGGGTCAAAGGTCACAGAGAGAGGGTGTTCCCTGAGATGCTTTGCCACATAAGTAGTCCAAAATGTGCATGTCATGGAAGGAGAAGGGGAGACGTTGTTTCTTTCTGATTAAGATGCTTGTTACGTCACTGCTCAACAGAGGTGCACGGCCGTAATTCTCAGACAAATGCAGCTGGCCATATTCAGGTTTTATTTTTCCTTAGGAACGGTTTGAATTTAGCTCTGCCGCGCTCAGTGACTGTGCTTAAAGGCCCCCGATGTGGAGATGCCTCGGGGCAAATGACAATTAACCTTTCTAGCAGGTATGGAAATTCGCATTCAGGTGCTCAGCAGACGCCAGGCATGAATGTGATTACATTTTAACCGGGGGACCAGTGGGGCGAGACAGCAGGGTCTGCTCTGTGAGGGGGGGGGAATGTGCTGAATCAGAATGGACCATTTGTGGTCGTACTGAACCCATGTGGTGTATTTGTGTGGTTAGAAGCTCTGAGGTGCGATTTATGTACCAAGGGTCATACCAGGAAACAAAATTTTTTGGTGTATATAAGTAAAATTAATGAAAAGTGAAGCATGTGCCTGATCCCTCTGAAAACGAGCCTGGAGGAGTGTGTGGGGCACACATTCGGGGTCCGCGCCTGGCTGTGCCAGTGGGGCACCTGCCTGCCCCCACCCCCACCTCATCGTGTCCTCGATTGAAACTCTGGCAAAGTGGTGGCTCGGCTGCCTCCATGCATTGTGAGTGTGGTTTTGTGTCCCCACAATGTAATAAAAACCTGATACTTTTTACCTTGTGGGGACATTTTTTCAATCCACACAAGGAGAAACAATTTTATAAAAGTATGTAACTGCAATCAAAAGACTAATAATGTTTTCCCCTTAGAAATTAATGGAGAGTCCCCACAAAGATATAATTACAAACCTGTGTGTGTGTGTCCTGAGGTTATTGGAACAAGAAAGCAGAAAGCAAGTTTGCTTTATTTCAGGGTTACTGGGTTAAAAATTCCATTCAGAAGACTGCAAAGGCTTCTGGGGATGAACATGGCTGGTAAGAGAGGAGAAGATGGCCGACTGCCTCTTGCTGGTGTGCGTGGGGCCCTTCTTCTTTGCCCGTATCAAGGTCAGCTGCCAACTTTAACGTCCCGTTTCGTGTCTCGCCCCCATTCCCCCTCCCCACCCACAGTTCAACAGGTGCATCACCTCCCAGCTCATCAAGTGGTTCAGCAACTTCCGCGAGTTCTACTACATCCAGATGGAGAAATTTGCCCGGCAGGCCATTGGTGATGGCGTGACCAGTGTGGAGGAGATGACCGTGAGCCGTGACTGCGAGCTCTTCCGCGCCCTCAACATGCACTACAACAAGGCCAACGATTTTGAGGTATGACTCCTTCCGGTAGGCGGAGCCTGCTTTTCAGTCACATGGCATCCAGGAGCTCCTCCCGCCTAACCCATCCCCCCCACCCCCCAGCCTACCATCTGTGATGTCACCCCTCCCATTTCTGATTCTCCTGATATCTGGCTCGCTAGGTTTATTGGGTTAGTGTTTCCGTGTTTTCTTAACGAACTTTAGCTTATTTGTGATTAGCAATGCAATGTCTGCAAAGGGAAGCTATTAAAGGTGGTCCGTCAGCATCTATAAACACGACGTGTCCGTCACACTTCCCGGGCTGGCTGTAGGGGGCGTCCCTCCTCGCCATCCTGCCTGTGATGTTGCGAATTCCTGTCGGAAGAATGCCGATATTCTGATTACGGTGGAAGCTATGTCATCACCCGGGACGTACTCAAGCCGGGGGAAATATTCACACGTTCACATGAAAGGCACACTTCTCGAGAGCAGGAATCTCCGTCCGTCAATAAAGGTTACTCCACGTCCTCTGTGTTTTCCAGGTCGGCACGCTTCCTCTGTGAAATGGAGTTGTCAGCATCAAGGTCATGTGTCCTTCCATATTGGGGGGGGGTGGGGTGGGGTGGATGAAGAAGGTGTTGTCCGGGGGTTGAGGCGTCCTTGTCAAATACAGCGCGCGCCATAAAGTACCGTCCTCACATCTGCTTGTGTCCACGGGGACTTTGTCCATTTAAATATGATCAAAACGCCTTCTGGTTCTCAGCACACAGGAAATAAAGTCCGCCCCTTTAATCATTTGAATAAGTCCGAGAGGCTTAAGGGGGCAGCCAGACAGGAGGGATGGGTGTGTCTTCCCTTGTTACTGGGAACTTTTTAAGGAACTCTGTCCAATTTACATGCAGAGACTTTGAATTTGCAAACTGAAAGGTGAAAGACAGTATGAATAAGACTTTTGTTGCAGGAGATGTTACGTTGTGGCGGGGCGGTGGTGGTGATTTGAATATCGGGGGGGGCGGTTCTCTGCAGGTGTCTGGGCAGGGAGATGGAGGAGCTGATTAGGACGTGACACACACAAAAAAAATTTGCATTGCTGGGCAATTTTCTTTGTGTGTGTGAGAGAGAGAGAGGGCGAGAGAGAAGCACCTGAAGTACGTTTCGGGAAAGCGTCAAAGTTTGTTTTAACATGTACGTGATACTTCAGAGGGCAGCATGACGTCTGCCATTTCCCCGGCGCCCCTCGGAGACCCTTAACTTACAGCATCTCATTCCCACCCGTCTGTCCGATTCTGCCAGATCTCGCCGTTAATCCAACCTGTCGCCGGTGCCAAGCCGCTCTCCCCGCTTCCACATCGTCATTGTCGGATCTCCCGTCTTCCTCCTACTGTGTCGCCTCTTTCATCCTCCTCGGATTTTATTCCTCCTATGCCCCCCCCCCCCACGACCATTAAGGAGATAAATAAATAAATTAGAGCTGAGTGCCGTAATTGCTGCATTCCTCGCCGGCAGGAAAGGATCCAGCAGTAATTAAAAGACTTCGCTAATTGCCTTTTCTGCTGCCGTTTTGGCATCTCAGGGCCGCGTTTCTACGTGTATACCCCTCCCTTTGGAGTTCTGCACCTCTGCCGTGGAAGTGTGAGGGGGGGGGCAGCCATGTGTTTAAACTCATTTCCAGACACGTAAATGTTTGCGTTGCCATGTTGAAGCCTTCATCTGGCACCGTGGGGAACCCCCTCCCCCCACTGAAAACTGTGATCACACTGGTTTGCGGTGATGGGCAATTTGCCATGATCGGTCAATCAAAGCCCAGGCTTTCACTGAACCACGGGCCACGCCCATGGTGAAGTAACCCGGCCGGAAGGCATGGTAGACCAGTGCCACCTTCCCATGTGACTGAATACTGCTTCCTCATTGGCTGACAGCTGGCGAGCCCAGCGGGGTGACGATCTTCACGAGTCACGGACAGGAGGCCCCACCTTTGCTGTGACTGTCCATAAGTCTCCCGAAAGTGACATGGGGACATTATTCATTTCTTTTTTCCTTTTGTAAATGTACATTCCGCTGCACTCGTCATGTTGGGATATCAGCATGCTAGGATATCAGCGTGTTGGGATATCAGCATGCTAGGATATCAGCGTGTTGGGATATCCTGAGCATCGTAATCGGGGGGAAATCTTTCTCCTCACTCGTCATGAATGAGC